GCCGTCGATTGCCTTAACCCATGAATTACTCTACATGAGTCTCGCTCCCCTGTCCATGTGTCGGGAGATTTGATCTTTTATTAAGTGCTGGTCAGTTACTGTTCGCTTTACTTCTACTAAGTCCATATACTACCTACACCAGGGATTGAACTATCAATTAGTAGGTCATCAAATTCACGACTCAACGCTTTTATGCCCTTATATATATATATATATATATATATATATATATATATATATATATATATATATTTGTGATTTCCGTGTTCTCCATCGGTGACAAAGCAGACCAACATGTTTTAGTGGACTCAGCAATTTTCAATCCGCTTGTCTGAATCATCTTCAAGAAGCGAGAGCAAGGTCTAAAAGGTCACCCAATCTAACAGTAATCTCATTTCACAATCCTCACACTTGCTCCATATGTGGCCTCCTTTGTAAATCACTAGCGGATCTTAAATGCCACTTAAGATTATCGCATAAACTTTCATAACTGAATCAATAAGCTGTCAGATCCTCATACGTCGAAACCGACGGGAGAGTCCATTATATATATATATATATATATATATACTTGTAGGTTTTACAGTTAAATTTCTGCTTCCTATACGAACTCCCTCTATACTGGAACTGAATAAGACCGACGAATTATATTTTCGTCGGAGGAAATAAGCTTATTCTCCATATAAGGAGATTTTGGAATTTATTGTGTATTAATTTTTGCTCTGTAATAAATACATTGAACTCTTTTGTGGAGCAGTTTTAATATTCTATATTACTAGGTCCACTTCGATTAAATACCAACGGATTTATTACCTTTACTACATATATATATATATATATATATATATATATATATATATATATATATATATATAAATTTGATTATATTTAGGCAGCAATTTTTCTTTAATATATGTTTCATTAAATAATATAGACAAGTTTTGTCTATTTATTTTAAGTAAGTTCCTTTCATATTGTCTGATAAGCTTAATAACATTATCATTGAAAGACGAAAGGAAATCACCATCTTGATATATGTTTAAATTCAATCTAAGCTTTCGGATTACATAAGCCGTTATCAAAGATGACTGTTACTTTTCAATATATCAAACAATACACGAACGAAACAATAATGATAGTCTGTTTTTGTTGCATGAAAAATTTCAAAGCAACGACAAACTCGTGCATACGAGACGCTCAAGCGAAAATCGCGTCGTAGCTCGTGACGTCACACATGACCACCCGAGAGTGAAAACGAGAAGTATTAAGTATGGGAAGTCGTTGGTATAAACCAATGGATTCTGTTACCAATTATAGGCATTTAAGAATATTTGTGGAGATTTCGTAGTTTATTTTATTCAGGTTAGGTTTCAACTGTTTTATGTATATAGCTTCAAGAATTTTTAGCTTTTGTTTATTGTTTTCATGTTTAAGTATAGTTGTGTTTTCAACAACGATTTTCCGGAATATATATATATATATATATATATATATATATATATATATATATATATATATTCGTATGGTAGCCACAGGTTACAGGAGGATTTATATTAGAAATGTTATGGGAATAAGGCTCTGTATGCCTATCTATATGCTGATAACCTGATATTCGTATCTATTTATCAATCTACATATTAGATCCGTTTTTCTATCTTTTCCCTTACCCTGACCCAAACGTTTTATCCAATGAAACCGATAGATAAGCAAGAATCTAATCGCAACTGATAGGTAAGAACATCTGCACCTCACTTTTGACTTAGGCGCAGATAAATACAGCTGTAGTGAATTGGGAAAATTTTCTCAGAATAGAACTCTGGCCTTGATCGCCTTTATCATTCCTCTGACATTAATATCAAATCTCACAACACGTTTTATCTGATAGAAATGCGTCTTCAAAGAGATATATAATCGGTAATACGATGAGAAAGTATTGCAAATGATTTTTTTTTTAATTTGATTTTAAAGAAGTCTTTAAAGGAGAGATATTTCTCCTCTTTGTCTGTCTCCCCTTCTGTCCATTTCTCTTCTTTTTCAGGGCCTACCGTAGCGCAAATAGTAAGAAAGCTAATTGTTTATAATTGCAATCATCACTAGATGTCATATTATCGTTATCGGGTGCCGGACTTAGTTAAATGTATTAAATATGTACTCTTATAGAATGTTTAGCGAGTTTATCTTCAAAACTCAACGACTGCCTCTCAAATATAGTGTTTTTGTTGTTGTTGTTGTTGTTGTTCTTCTTCTTCTTCTTCTTCTGCTCTTTTTTTTATCTTTTATTTATCTTGCGATCCATTTTAATTTCTTTTTCATCTTATTTTTCCTTCACAACTTCCTCTTCTCAAACTCTTACTTTTTCATTAGGTTAACATCTTTCTTCTTTTTCTTTCTTTCTTCTTCTTCTTCTTATTTTCTTTCTTTCTTTCTTTCTTTCTTTCTTTCTTTTGTATATATTACGACCCTCCATGTTTTAGCCACATTTTACCTTTGTTTTTGCTCTACGACTTTCTCTTGTTTATTTTTCCTACTTCTTGATTAGCGTAATTATTTCCTCTTCTTCTTCTTCTTCTTCTTCTTCTTCTTCTTCTTCTTCTTCTTCTTCTTCTTCTTCTTCACCTCCTCCTTCTCCTCCTCCTGCTCCTTCTTCTCTTCTCTTCCTTCTCATTCTTCTCCTCCTCCTTATTCTTCTTCTTCTCCTCCTCCTCCCTCTTCTTCTTCTGCTCTCTTTTTATTTTTTCTTTATCTTGTGATCCATTTTAACCTCTTTTTCATCTTATTTTTCCTTCACACCTTCCTCTTCTTACTTCTTCATTAGGTTAACATCTTTCTTCTTCTTCTTCTTCTTCTTCCTCTTCTTCTTTCTTTTTTCTTTTTATATACAGTGTGTCCATAAAGTTCATGTGCATCTTAAGAAATTTATAACTTTAAAGTGCACACGAACTTTATGGACGCCCTGTATTGCGACGCACGATATTTTAGCCACGTTTTACTTTTCTTTTTGCTTATACGACTTTCTCTTTTTTATTTTTCCTACTTCTTCATTAGGGTAATTATTTCCCACTTCTTCTTCTTCTTCTTCTTCTTCTTCTTCTTCTTCTTCTTCTTCTTTCTATATATTGCAGTCCATCATGTTTTACCGCTTTTTACCTTTCTTTTAGCTCTCCACGCTTTCCTTAAATTTTATTTATTCCTAATCTTGATTCAGTCAACATCTTTCCTGCCTTCTACCCCGAATCTTTTAGCAATAAGAATCCATTCTTGAAAATAGGAAATATAAACTATTTTCACACTAAGGCCGCTAACAAACCCCGGTCCTCATCACTGCAAACCAAGCAATGAAAATCCGTGTACGAGACAGCAAAGAAAATCCCCAACACACAGAGAAATAAGTCAACATGAATTGTTTGCTGGGGCAACCAAGAAACTGTATCATAAAATGCTATTTATTTATTTCAGAATGTTAAGTGTTGTAAGTTTGTGAAAATCCCCTTTCATTTGATTCCCAGTAAAGACAGCATCATATATATTTTTCAACTTAGAGATTTAAGTTGTGTTTCCATTGTGCTTTTAAATTTAATTTTATCATTTATTTTTTAAATTATAATGATCACTTTCTGCGAAGTCATGTCTCAACGTCCCCAGGCTTACAGCTATATCACGATGCCTTACGCTTGGACGTCCGCTTGGGAATACTAGGTGTTGTAAGCTTGGATGTGCAGGTGGTGTAATCGATAACGGCTCAGAATTGGAAATTGAAGAGCAGAGTTCTAATTCCAGTCGTCTTTGTTATATTCGTACGCGTAAATAACCTTGAGAAATATATGAATTCACTTTATATCCCTACCCGCTTTGAAATAATTAGTAGGATTTGCATATGCTGCTGTTGCTGTTCTTGCTAAATCTAATGCCATGAGGGCGTTGAAACCACGAGAGCTACCTTGTCCCTTCAAACTCTCATGGTCTTTGCAGAGCGTCGGAACATCCTCCAGTACGAGATTAATCTGATGGAGGGCGTCCTTCCAGCGGTTACGTGGACTGCTGCGAGGTCGTTATCGGTTTGCAGACGGCGGCTCGTACTTGATTCTAGTAAGGGGGTCGTCGTTGGACGTGACTGAGCTAGCGAAGATGGCTTGCATTAGTAATATCATTATTATCTAAAAAAAAAAAATCTTATAATTTAAAAATATTTTCTGACTTTTGATAAACCGTAGAAAACAAAACAATCACTTTGTTATGTTGCATGCACTAGAATATTTTTTAAATACACGTGCTAATTAAACTTTATAAAAAGTATACGAAAGTTTTTTTCGTAACAATATAAGCTGAAAAGAATGTGCTGGCGGTATAATGAGTAGCGGTTCTGAACAGAAAATTGTCTCGCCGATTTCGAATTCCAGGATTTCGATGTATTCACTTTCACGCAAATACTCTTGGAAAAGATAAAAAATAATTTTTCTCCACCCATCTAAATAGTAGAGTAGATCGGGCTCTGGTGGCAACCAGTCTAAGAAAAAGAAAAGTCTGAATTGAAAACTATAAGTAGTTCTGGCATAGCAGGTAATATGCAGCCAAGAAAAAACCATGAATCCTTAATCCTGATTGAGTCGATACATTATTAAAAGCTGAAATGAAATAATGGCTGATAGTAGAAAATAGTTAAATAAAAAGTTAATTCTGTACGGTGTTTTAATCACTTTTTTTTTTTAGGTTAGTTTGGATTAATATCCTTGTATTTTGTTTTAAGAAATTAAATAAAATCATAAACACTGGAGATCAAGAAGGTTGAATGTATCCAAACTCATAGTAAATAGCGACCATTAACGAATCACGTGAAGAATTAGTGGAAAGCACTAATCAAGAAAGAAAAGCGTTGCATTTGAAGTTTCCGGAGCAGAACATAATTAGTGGAACATGTGATGTAACCCCATGTGTTTATTTAAAGGTCGCGAAATGAAAGCAATAGTCAGATGAAGTAAAATACAGTAGCAACAAAGCGTGACTTAGTTGCCATTCCGTGTGCGGGAAGAGAGCATCATGTTGTGTCGCTGACTGCGCACATAGCGCGACTCAATTGCGTTTCTACGGCTAGAGCGTAACTCAGTTGTATCTCCACGGGTAGAGCACATCACAGTTGTGTCTCTACGGGTAGAGTGCACCTCAATTGTGTCTCTACGGGTAGAGTGCATCTCAGTTGTATCTCCACGGGTAGAGCACATCACAGTTGTGTCTCTACGGGGAGAATGCATCTCAGTTGTGTCTCCACGGGTAGAGCACATCACAGTTGTGTCTCTACGGGTAGAGCGCACCTCAATTGTGTCTCTACAGGTAGAGCGCAGCTCAGTTGTGTCTCTACGGGTAGAGCACATCACAGTTGTGTCTCTACGGGTAGAGTGCACCTCAATTGTGTCTCTACAGGTAGAGCGCAGCTCAGTTGTGTCTCTACGATTAGGGCACATATCAATTGTGTCTCTACGGGTAGGGGACATCTCAATTGTGCCTACGGGTAGGAACATCTCAATTGTGTCCCTACGGGTAGGGAACATCTCAGTTGTGTCCCTATGGGTAGAGCGCTACTCAGTTGTGTCTATACGGCTAGAGCGTAACTCAGATGTGTCACTACGGGTTGGGCACATCACAGTTGCGTCTCTACGGGTAGAGCGCTACTAATTGACTTTCGTTTTGCCATCTTGACACCATTTGTCTTAAGAATCACTGAAAGACCCTTTGAGTTATTCAGCTAGAAAAAGAATAGGTTAAAATTGTCTTATGTCAGCCTCTCTATGTCTTCCCAACTGAGCAATGGCGAAAGGAAAATATCATTTAGGCCTTCAGTAATGAGGCTAACATTCATATTCTGGCTTTCATCTTTAAAATCAATTCACGAGAACGGTGAATATTTAAAAAGAGCTAATATTTGAGAGGTAACAACAGGAAGAGGGATCATCATTTGAACCAAACTAAATACATTCTTATTGTTCAAAGTAGAGTCCAATAATTTTATAACAAACCTCAGAGACATCCAGTATGGTATCTTTAATTATTTCTAAAATACAACGGTTGAAATCTCAAGCAAGTTTTGGACAATTTTGCTGTTACATCTCGATATATATATATAGTTGAAACCCGGGTTCTGTAACCAGTAAATACACTATCTTTTTTATATTATCTGTTCCAAACGTTCAATTGTTTCGAATTTGTGTTTACTGCAACATGCCACACGAAGAGGGAATATAAGTTTGTGGGAATTTTTACAGAACTTACAGGATATCTGCCATATTACAAAATTCATCCTAACCCATAACAACTTCGACTTTGCACTTCGACGTAGTGTAATGGTTAACAAGCTTATCTCGCTAGATCCAGTATGACTTAGTAGTGTGTTCGTTACTCACTGGCTTCTCAACACTTTCGGCTTTGTGCCACATCTAAGCCATGTTTAGAAAAGTATTTTATCCAACTCGATGTAGTTTAGCAAGCTTGTCTCGCTAGAACAACTGACTGAGGAGTAAATTTGATACTCACTGGGTGCCCCATACTTTCGGCATTCTGCCACATTTAAACTACGCTTAGAAAATCACCATAACATCTTTGAGTTCAACAGCCACATTTTCTTCTGTTCAGAAGCAAAGAGATGAGGACAAAAATGACCTCCAGTTATGCACAAATATTTATGGGTGCTTCAGAGTGATATATATTTTCGTAGTTAGCGCCTAGAACTTTTCTTCTACCAAAGATGCATAGAAGATATTTGGGCTGGGAGCTGAACATGGCGTAATGTTTAGCAAGTTTTCTTCACTAGGTCAATTACGACTTAATATTGAGTTCGATCCTCACTGGGTGTACCCTAATTTCGCCTTTGTGCCACATCTAAGCTGCGCTTAGCAAATCACCATAGACGAGATCTTCCTTAAATGAACCCACGGGGAGAATACTCTGCATGATTTCAAACATCAACAATCTCTTCCACAGCAGCATCAAATTTACAATTCCGGATTTTCGGCCACTTCCGCTTCCGGATTTGCGGTTATGTCTAAGCAACAACCACACCTCCATGTCACTACAAACTAAACTTACAGATGATCATTACTAATTAAATTTTAACAGCTGTCATCCTACCAATCTAAAAAAATAGATCAATAGTCTATCGCCATTGTTTACGCATAAAACGTATCTGTTTTGCCACAGGAGAGAATGAAAACACATGGGAAATCTAATAAATTATTTTCACAACAGAAACTATTCCCCTAAAACTATTAAAAATCAATGACTAAGATTTTCGAACACAATAGAGATACTCGTCTAAACGAAAAAACAAATAAAAAAAATTAGAATTCCCATGGTTTTTGATTTTAATTAAAACATTCACAAATCATCTCATATTTTACAAAACGACTTCCAGTAATCTAAAACTACACATAACGCTGGATGGCAACCTCCGAATCTACAGTTACTCGTTACATTATCTAGACCAGTGGTCCGTGGACCACTGGTGGCCCAGGAACCATTGCTAGTCCACGGACCACTGGTGGTCCAGGAACCATTGCTGGTCCACGGACAACTGGTGGTCCAGGAATCATTGCTGGTCCACGGACCACTGGTGGTCCAGGAACCACTGGTGGTCCACGGGCCACTGGTGGTCCAGGAACCATTGCTGGTCCACGGAACAATGGCTGTCCGTGTAAAATCTTTGATGGTCCACAGAAAAATTGGTATATTATTTCAATTTTTATGAAGCTTCAGATTAAAAAATGCCGAGTAACAAAACGTATTATAGATGTTATATATGTTGAAGACCTTATGTAATCTTGAAATAAACACTAGTACACAAGAACACAAATGTCAAATTATTAAGCCATAATATAACCTAACATGACTTGCAAAGTCATGTTCAATATTTGTTATTAAATAATTTCTTACCATAACTGTTGATAACTAGTTACTGGATGGTTTACTAGTATAATTTTCTACAAAAAATTATTTGCCAAGAGCTGAGATCTTGAAAGGTGCTACCCCCGGGGCAAGGTAGACCTGGGAACACCATCAATTATAAAATGGTTCCACCTGTCTCGAAACCTCTCGATCAGAGGCCTTGCTGTCGGATGTAGTGTATCGTCATAACCAGGACTGTAACCTGTCTAGGCTTAACCGCATCAACTGTACCTGTTACTCTACCTTGAGTGGCTTTCGAGCCTAGTACCGATTGAACCTTTTTGTAAAAAATAAAATAGACCAACCTCCTATCTTGATTTGTGCCAGTTCAAATATGTTACATATAATTTTTTGCAACTAATGAAATGCAGTAAATTATATCGGTGAAACTTGTAAGGAATTCTACCTTCGGTTTAATAACGACAAGAAAACTATCTGAGATGTCAATTTCACTCTAGATATATAGGGTCCCCCCCCCAATTTGACATCATTTTAAAAGCAATTATGTCGAAAACTATCTCAATGAAATTCAACAGTTCAGGTGTTGAACGTCTTAAGTTTATTTATGGAACCGATTTTATATGTGTTTAATATGCGCACCGCGTCGGACACGACACACGTCAAGTCGGTAGTTAAGCTCTTGCCAAACACGCTGTAGCATGTGGCCTGTAACATTGTCCAGTGCATAAGTGATTCTCTGCCTTACTTTATCAATGTTAGCAGGAAGATGGGGAGGGTATTAGACCAATTCCTTGATATATCACCATAAAATTTTGCATTGAAGGCACTCTGCACAGTCTTGGGTGACTGTGTGCGAGCACATTCCAAGACGAAACATGACTTCTCTTTGGGAGTGAACGGCATTGGTCAACCTGAAAACAGAACAAAAATAAAACATTAAATATAAAATCTTGATCGGTTTCTATACATTCTGTGAAAACTTGAGGTTATTTCAAAAAGAATTGCCAAAATTATTGGCCTGTGAAATGATGTCAAATTTGTTGATGACACCCTGTACATTTCAACCAATCGGATTATAGTTTTGAAAAAAACTTTTTAGCACCATCGTTTAGGTGCCAACAGAATTGTCAAAAATCCGAGTTAGATTTCATTTTTAAAATAAATTCCCACGTCCTTGCATTAAATAGAAATTTAGGCAGGCACAATGAATACAGTTTCTACAAAAAAAAAAGAAAAAAAGAAGCCATCTACGACCCCACACCACAACCCTTAAGTAGTAGATTTAATCAGTAAAATAAAGCACTCAAACAGGCACTAATGTTTACAAGCCCTTAATATAAATAAAAATAAATTTCTCCCCAGATGCGCAACCCCACACGCCAAAAAATGGTTCGCCTTTTTTATTTTCACGTTGTGGACATAGACATGACAAAAAATTGCGTTTTTTTTATATCTTTCTTATCACGCTTTTATTTTGTCTAATATCCTAATAATATAAAATATTTTGTCTAATAGCCTAATAATATAAAATATTTTGTCTAATAGCCTAATAATATAAAATATTTTGTCTAATGGCCTAATAGTATAAAATATTTTGTCTAATGGCCTAATAGCATAAAATATTTTGTCTAATGGCCTAATACTATAAAATATTTTGTCTAATGGCCTAATACTATAAAATAAATATTATTGTCATTATTATTATTGTTGTTGTTGTTTTATATATCTTTTCCAGTTTCATTCATCGGCCTAATATAACTATGATCTGTAAGAAGCATACTTGGACAATCTCTCATTCTCTCTCTTTATCTTTCTCTTTCTCTCTCTCTCTTCACACACACACACACACACACACATATATATATATATATTTATATTTATAATAAAATAAAAATATATTTTATGTAATAAAATATATATAATAAAAAAGGACAAATTATAACAATCAACTTTTAAAGCTTACGTGTCATATGTAAGGTTATATATATATATATATATATATATATATATATATATATATATATATATATATATATATATATATATATAACCCTTTCTCTTACTTGCTTCCTGATAGCTATAATCTCCCACTATTCAAATGCAATCTCCAGATGCCTTGATCTATTCCTTGACTTCATCCTTTCTTCTATCACGCCTCTTTACTCTTGCAACCACTCTCTGTAACCCTTTGCGTGCTAGTGGCACTCCTGCCGTCCTTGCGGTGAAAAGCTTATATATATATATATATATATATATATATGTGTGTGTGTGTGTGTGCGTGCGTGTGTGTGCGTCTGTGTCTGTAGGATTGTAATGTATATTTGGGCAGCAACCTTTCTTTCAAACATGTTTCGTTGAATATGACAGATAATGATAAATAACTTTGGTTTGGTTTGGCTTGTTGTGTTTTACGGCATATCAACCTCATTGGGTTATTTAATGCCGGCAAAGTTTTTATTGCTGGTAAAATTTTCTTTTGTCAAAAATCTATTTCTGGTAATAATGTTTTCCTTCAAAAATGTATTGCTGTTAATAATTTTTTTTCTAAAACATATTGTTGGTAATATTTATTTTTTCAAAAATATATTGCTGGTAATAGTTTTTTTCTTCAAAAATTTATTGCTGATAATAATTTTTTTTCAAAGTATTCCTGGTAATAAAACTCATTTTTATCCCAGTTTCGGGGTTAACTGTTTGCCCATAGCTGGGACCCTAACAGGTGCTACCACCACGGGTCACGGGGAACCTGGGAACACCAGGAATTAAGAGGTGGTTCCACGCTCCTCAAAATCTTCTGATCAGAATCCTTGCTGTAGGATGTACTTTATCGTCTTACCCAGGACGTAAGAAAAATAGGATGAATATTTTATTTAGTCTTTCTAAATTTTTTGACATTTTTCCGTTTGGTGGGTATAGAGTGTAAATATTGGGTGTAAGGTCTGTTGTCCCAAGCACTTTCGGCCACTTCTTTAACCATTTTCAAGAGGTTTTGTCGTTGAATGTTATTAATTTATTTTCATGGTTGCGAGTTGACTATACAAGAGAAGTGTTTATGATAATAACCTTTTAAATCCGTTGTTGGCCATCTACCTATATTCTGTAAGAATCGAACGTGGGCAATATCACTCTCGCTGCACACACACGTACGTACACACGCGGCCTTGCACACACGCGCGCGCATATATATATATATATATATATATTTAATTAATTAATTCATCGAGTCTGATAGAATCCTCAACAGAATGCAGAAAGCACTGGACGGCCGTTTCGTCCTATATTTGGGACTCATCAGCAGTGCGCATCCACTACCGAGAATTGAAACCCTGACAGTTAGGTTGTCAAGCGAACATCATACCAACTGTTCCAAATGGGCCTCGAAGAGATTCCAAATCAGACTCAACTTAGAACTTAGCTCTATATATATAGTTATGCTCGTTTGGAAAATGCTTAGGTATTTTGGCATGTAATTGAACAAAATAATGCCCAAGGGAAAATAAGGGGGGATAAACAAAAGAAAAAACTAAGAACTTGAAATTGAGGCGAAAACAAACGTCCAGAGTCCAAAGAAAAAAAACTCCAAAAACGATTAACGCAAAAGTAACTACGTAAATTGCTCAATACACTAAGTAGTCCAAACCTAAATATGAACCTAAAGAGCCACGAAAACCTACCTAGGTTTCGCCTATACGGACCGTAAATTATATATATATATATATATATATATATATATATATATATATATAACTTTAAAACATATATTTGTAATGACAAATATACGCAGGTATAGGCTTTAAGAAAGTTTTATTCAACTGAGAACACAAGGTTCGCTTATAGTGTCCTATTATAGTTCCAGGAAACAGAAATACCTCGCTCAAAAAGGATAGTAACAAAACAAGGGGAGACCACTCTTGATTATTCATAACCAATATTGTTAAATATAACAGACAATAAATGTCTATTATATTTTATCATGAGCCGTTCTAATCTCCGTATATTTCCTTTAATTTTGGCTAATAATAAAGATAAAAATTGCCCAACGTTTGGATATTTTTTATTATGCTGATAAAACAAACAGACGACCTTTAGAACGGCTTGTGATCAAACATAATAAACATTCGATGTCTGTTATGTTTAACAATATATATTTAAATAATGATCTGCTGTCCTATATATATATATATATATATATATAGATAGATAGATATATTATATGTGCGCGGCACTTTCAATATCAGTGAAAGAGCTAACATAATAATAATAGGTATGAGTTTGTGACCCTGGATTTCACGGTTTTCGATCATCAGAGTTTATCTGTTGATCTCGAAATCGTGAAACTCAAACACATATCTACAACTTACTATATATATATATATATATATATATATATCAAACAAAAGCATGAAACACAAACTTATGTTCTACAACTTACTATATATATATATATATATATATATATATATATATATATATTAGTGAATATACATAATATCCAACATCGATAGCACACCTCAGTGTTTCATGCAGTCCCTGCAATCTTCATGTGCAGAACATATTCTGAGCGTTATTGAGGTCGCGTTCTCGTGTTGTTGATTCAAAACTGTGTGCTAAAGTTGTTTATTTAATTAGTGTTGACTAATTATTAATTGCCTAATATTATCATTAATTATTAATAATTCAAATTCTTAAGTTCAAAAGGCGAATAATTAAAATTTTTAAGTTCAAAGGGCGAAGAATTCAAATTTTTAAGTTCAAAGGGCGAAGAATTAAAAAAAAAATATAAAAAAGTCACTTAAATATAAACAAGATATCCAGGGAGCTACCAATTAAATAAACTAGTACTCAGTACTGTAAATATAAGTGAGCAAATATAAAACTAACAGATCGGTTCTATGTAGCTAATGTGTTTGGAACGAAGCCTTTTACTTATAAAAGTGAAATTATATATACGCACGTTATAAATTAATCGAGTATGGTAAAATTGGATTGTATGTGCGTATAAATATATAAGAAATTTTATTACTGATAGGTCCTAAGAATATTAAAAAGTTGCTGCATATTATATTAATATTCGTAAAATCTATTTTGTAATCTATTTTTATAACACATGAGGAAGAAATATATTTATACGTACGTGCAAGTATATGTGCGTGTATATATATATATATTTTATCACACCCATAATTATAGCTCTCTCTCACTCTCTCTGTCTCTCTCTCTGTGTCTCTCTCTGTCTGTCTGTCTGTCTGTCTCTCTCTCTCTCTCTATATATATATATGTATGTATTAGCTATTACCTTTTTAAGTTTGTTGCTGGACATAGCCCTTTCGAAAGACACAAGAATAGGACTGGCCTTACTTTTATTTTACTGTTTCATAGTGTATTTTTAGGGGTGGGGGTCCATTGATTCTGATTTAGTATCGGCCGTTTCTGTGTCCTTGTGGTTAGCCAACACTGAAGATGCCAGTCTGTTGTATTCTTTAACCATTTCTGGGGGAGAGAACAACTGGATTCACTCAGGTGCATCAGTGCGGAATGAATACAAACTCGTCTTTGAGTATATATATACAAACATACATACACACACGCACACACACACTCTCTCTCTCTCTCTCTCTCTCTCACTCACACACACACACACACACACACATATATATATATATATATATATATATATATATATATATATGAATAAATATAGTTTTAAGGTGTGCTATATTTATGGGATGAAGTGCTCCATATCAGAAATAGAGCATATGTAAATATAAATGCCTGACGATTGCGTCCAGCATGAAACAGCCTGTCGCCTCTGAGTGTTGACTTCAATGTTCACTTTTATATATATATATATATATATATATATATATATATATATATATATTATATATATATATATATATTGTTTCACCCCAAGCAAGGCGGGAAGCCACTTGGACGCAAGGGGTTACAGAAGATTTGGAGCAAGATCAGATAGGATTGATAGAGGAAAGGATGAGGAGAAGGTTAGTGGATAGATCAAGACAACTGAGATGTCGATTCATTATATGCACATTATATATATATATATATATATATATATATATATATATATATATATATATTGGTAGTCCCTGGCATTTTACGTGGACCCGTATTGACGACTGTCGTGAGATGATCAGGTATATTGTGCACTAAGTTTTGTTAGATTCGTGGCGACACCTCATGATAATGAAGGCGCGGTCCCTTTTCACGCACGCCAGAGATTCCTGGCCTTATCTAGTCTTATTTCGCGCAACAGCTGCTTAATGTTGATATCTTTTTATATAATCATGAAGGCAGCTTTTATATTTGTAAGTCGGGCAGCATTTAAATCATTAAAATTATCAGTAGGCACCGCCGTGATTTTCTTTTATATTGCAACATGTGTCGCAAAAAACGCCAGAAACTTGTAACATATTAATTTTAGCGTTTCTAACACTTGAGCCATTTGTAAGAATGATTGCTAAAAAAAAAAAAAAAAAAAAGGTATAAAAATTATTTTTTGCTTGAGTTTTCCCCTTGACTGGATATTATTTAATTTTTTTTTTCATTACGTCTGCAATGAACTGAATGTTTAAAACTGTCTTTGTTATTAGCCCATTTATTGTTGTCTGTATCTTCCGACCCTAAAGAAAAAAAAAAACAAAACAAAAAAAAAAAGCAATCTTTTTAAAATACTAATATTAAGTGACACTACTACTACAACGAGGTATTCAGCATAGATCAGAATCGTTGTATGACAAATTGGAAGGAAAGAAACACCGTCGTAAATTGGCGATTATACCCCTCCCCATATATATATATATATATATATATATATATATATATATATATATATATATATATATATATATATATATTGAAATATGATGGCTTACATATCAAAAGTTAAAAGTATAACATAGCTCAAAGAACTTTAAAAAAATCCCTATGAAGTCCTAACTAAATTAACCGGTGTTAAAAGGGCTCTTCTCTCTTTTCCGTCGTCTTCATCCGTGACGAAAGCGCACTCATGCTTCATGTTCAATTACAGCGCCCTGCAGCGTTTGCCATCCTCCGTCCCACTTCCCTAAAATCTCCGGCTGTATCGTGAGCGAAAAAGCAAGGGAAGAGGAAGTAAAAGAAAGATTGATAACTGAAGAGAAAAAAAAGAGTGTGTGTGTGAGAGAGAGAGAGAGAGAGAAAGAGAGAGAGAGAGAGAGAGAAAGCAAGTGAAACACGCAGAGGAAGGCGTAAGGAGTGGAGGAGGAGTTTTAGATCTAGCAACGTCTAGGCGTCATGGCGGCCATAGATGCTGTGAGCGATGATGTGTCACGCGCATGCGCACTCACACGAAACTGATAGTGAATATCTATCGTCCGTGAATAAAGTCGTCTTTCCGACCATTAGCAAGGGAAATTAGAGAGAGGGGGAGGGATGCGTAGAAACGAAATGAATGAACGAAAGGAAGGCACTATCATAAGAAATAATATGCGTATGTATAAATAAAGTATTGCATAAGTGTAATTATGTGCATATATTCTCCTAGACTGAATGCTAGTTGGCGCAGAGCTGTAAACCAATGACTTTATATTTTGTGTTAGTTTAGTCAGACACAAGGCAAAACGAATCAAACACATCGAAAAAACGTGTTTCGGTTTGCTGCCATTCTGTTATAATTCTTAGTCCCAGGATAAAAGCCTACTTATATACGACCCCACCATATTTCAATCATGAAATTCAGTACTTACTCCAAGATCATTTTTTTTAAGCATTTCACCCCAAGGTGGGAAGCCACTAGCACGCAAGGGGTAACAGAGGATTTGGAGCAAGAGCAGATAGGAGGGATAGAGGAAAGGATGAGGGGAAGGATAGTGGATAGATCAAGCTAACTGGTGATGTCGATTGACATTACATTTGAATAGTTGGCGATTATAGCTATCAGGGAAACAGGAAAAGAGAAAGGAGTTCCACAGGCTAGAGGTGCGAGATATGAAGCTATTGGAGTAGAAGAAACGGCTACATTTAAAATTTCTAACAGTGAAAGGGTGAGAGAGGGATGCTAGCCTCGTTGGACTGCAACGACTATCTGAAGCAAAGCAGACTCCCATATCCCCGGAAATATGTTCCAAGGCACAGTACATATCTCAAATTGTTGGTAATATCCGGGGAAACCCTCCAGTCCTTTCTCATAGGCTCAACGTAGAAAACCTGACGCTACACTATCGCTATTTCCATGGAAAATGTTTAGAAGGATACTAATTTTAGTTCCATCAGTTCATATCTTGACAGCTAAGACGCACCATGTTGCGCCCATGTAGTCGAATCATCCTCACACCTGCCATATTCCAAATGCAAAAAGGAATTTCTACTCAGCTTTTTCTAAGAACCACTGCTTTGTGGAACAGACTCCCAGGTGAATGCTTCCCCGAACATTACAATCTTAACCTCTTCAAGTCAAGAGTCAATAATTGACTAACATCCATATCTACATCATTCTCACTCATATGTATATCACATATCTTATTCATTAACCCTCTACCTTGAGTGGTTCTTGAGCCTTTTATTAGATTAAATTTATTAAACAAAAAATGTTGAGAAATTCCCGGCCATACTAATGTAAATTTAAAATTCAACCAAATTTGTGGAAACGGCTACTAAGAGGATGTTTCCCCGATCGCTATAATCTTGGATCAACCATTATCTTCCCAACATATCCCCATAAATTTTACATCTTGCTCTGTAACTATCTACCTCGAGTGGCCCTTGAACATTGTACAGTGTTAACATCGCTGTAAAAATTACCTAATCTCCTATTTTTGGAATGGGCGTATATTTAGGTTCTGATAGAGAACTTTCAAACAACTCGACGTAATAGGCTTATTCTTGTTACTTCTACGATAAAGCTTAATTCATATAGTAGGCAAAATAAGATATTAGTTTGTTTTACAGCATGTCAACTTCAATGGGTTATTTAATGCCGTCAAGGTTTCTATTGCAGGTAACATTTTTTTCAAATATGTATTGCTGGTATTATTTTTTCTTTACAAATGTATTGATGATAATATTTTTTCTTCAAAAATTTATTGCTGTCTATATTTCTTTTCTTCAATAATGTATTGGTGGTAATATTTTTTTCAAAAATGTATTGCTGGTATTAAAACCTATTTTTACACTTTCATAGTGTTTTGACCCCAATTTGGGGGTTAACTATTTGCCCATAATTGGGACCCTAACAAGTGCTACCACCTGGAACTGGGAACAGCAGCAATTAAGAGGTGGTTTCATGCTCCTCAAAACCTCCTGATCAAAGGCCTGTCTGTCGGATGTAGTTTATCGTCTTACCCGGGACGGGGATGTAGTTTATCGTCTTACTCGGGATGCGGATGTATTTTATCATCTTACCCAGGACGGGAATAAGATATTAACAAGTATAATTAATACTACTACTACCACTACTACTACTAATAATAATGGGGCAGCTATAACAATCTACTTTAATAGAAGTTACGTGACAGATGGAAGGATTCGTTACAGCAATGCCCAGATAATGTAACAGGAGACAGAAAATCTCATACTGAAATTCACGGACGGATCGTAATAGCAATAGATGAATTGCAGAAATTAAAGAAAATATGAAGGGGTCAAAAAGTAACAT